TGCGTGGCCTTCGGCGAGGCCCTGCGCCTCTCCAGCCTCCGGCTTCTCCACGGGCTCCAGGCTGCGTTTGCCCGGACAGAACCGCCCAGCCCTGTGGTCGGAAGGGCCCCGCGGCCGTCCGCTTTACTGAGCCCACGACGTCCCATCACTTCACGCGTGTCTCGCGGATGCCCACGACCCCACCGCACCGACGAGAAGGCCCTCGGCAGGCCAGTCACTTGCAGAGGGAAGCCTCCAGGCCCGAACCAGAGCCTGACCCCAGCATGGGGGGTCAGGGGACCCTGGCGGTCAGCATGGAGCTGTGGTCCCAGAGCCCATCGACATTCTTTGTTCCGCAAAAGAAGCTGGGGAAACGGGTATAGAGAGCAGAGGGGCTTGCCATGGTGGGGTGGCCATGTGAGCTGGAAAAAGGGCTCAGCTTTCCCATCTGAACCCCAGGACTCCATCCGTGGACCTGGGCTGTGACAAGGCAGGTGAGGCACACCGTGAGGGCGGCCCTGGTCCCCTGGCCCCAAGGGTTATGGCAGTGGGAGCCACCCGAGGGGACACATGTCTCAGCACACACGGAGAAAGCGTACCCTTCCCCACGCCCCTCAGCAAGTGCATGCTCCTGGCATACCACACACCTCACCAAGGACAAGCACCACACACTCACCTCGCCGCTGCAGACCCTCCCGACACCCACACCAGCGACTACTGCACCCCGTGGACGTTCGTCTCAGCATGCACACACCTGCAGGTCCCTCAACATACACAGAGTGTGCACTCACCAGTGCTGTGCACCTCACCACGGACGCCCAGGCCCACACCTTTCTGTGCACAGCACATTCAGTCTCCATCGCGCACACAGTGCACACTCCTGACTGCCACACCACGCAGGTCCCACACTCTTCTTTGTGCCCTCAACGCCAGTGGCCCGCCTCCACAAGGGAGAGTCCGGCCCGAGACCCCCAGCCTGCCCACAACCCACAGATGACTGGTGAGACAGTCACTAGGGCCTGTGCCTTCTACTGCCCAGATCATGGGCTAGACCATCCCTACTATCCCCATTGTCCCTCGGGAACATGGCCTTGAACATCTCTGCTCAGAACCTGTTGCTAAGCCACCCACTCACCTCCTGCCAGGGCCACCCTCTCATGGGTTTCTGAGGCATTTTACATGATCAGACCACACAGAGCCAAGTCACATGGTACCCTCTCTGATGTTTCTAAGGAAGCAGACTGAGAACCACAGAGTCCTCAGTATGTGAAATACTGCCTGGATTTCAACTTCCTCCTGTTGAAAAAGAAATAGCCTTTGCCCCCATAGTTTCACTGTCTCTGGAATTTTATACAGATCGATACGGACTCAGGATTTTGTCAGACCTTGAAGTTCATCTGGCTCAAAATACATCGAATGAGGGTTCCCAAGGGCTGGCCAGGCCTGTGCTTGCATCCTCTCAGGGATGATAGGCTCACTACCTACAGAAGCAATCCCTTCCACCCGGAATCTGCTTCCTGTGATTTCCACCTGCAGCCTGGCTCTGCCTTGGGAGCCATCCAGTTGACAGACCCTCAGCCGAGAGAGTCCCTTGGGAATGTTCTGTCACTTTCAAGTCAAGTGGCCTGGGTGCACAGCAAGTGCCTTGACCGGCATTAGCCTCTGAGAGAAGAAAGGGATTCCCCTTAAGTGGGGCTGGGACCTCCTGGGCTTCTGCAGCCTGGGCACTGGTCCCATCATGCTCTGCCCACTCTGACCTTCTGTCTGTGTCTTTCCCAGTTCCTGATCGTGGGGCCTGTGTCTCATTTATTTCTTGCTCTGTTCACCTAATTGTCCATCTGTCCACCCACCCCTCCCTCTCACATTTTCTGAGCACTTCCTTCATGCCAGACCCTGTCCTGGGCCACGGGGACACATGGCTGCACCGGATGTGGTCCCTGACCTCAAGAAAGCCACCAGTCTGATGGGTGGCAGGCAGGAGCTGGCGCGAGAATGCCATGGAAGTGGTTCTGCGGGGGGGCAGGAGGGCAGAGCTTCCTTCCAGATTTGTCTTCTAAAAGGCAGGAACATATTTTAGTCCCTGTTCAGGGCTGGGCTCAGGAGGGATAGCCAATATCGTGTGAGAGCATGGCCAGTGGATGCAGCTTCTATGCTTGATCTTAGCCAAAAGGCCGAGAAGTGATGGATGGGACCTCTTATTAGCAAGTACCACCAGCCACCCACTTCACAGCTGAGCAAGAGAGGCCCAGAATGGAGTGACTTCCCAAGGCAGTCTGTGGTACAGTGGGACCCCAACACCGGAGCTGCCACCACAGCCCTCACCCTGGCAGACCTACCTGCAGGTAATGGTAGGCTAGACCTTGGTGGCAGGATTTGGATTTTAGCAGGCTCTTATCCAAGGTGGCTGAGGTCTTCTGGCAGACTTCGTGGGCATGGCTGAGAGTCAGAGTGGACCAGGAGCCCCTTTTAACATAGTTGGTGTCAGTGCCCACCCCAAGGCTGGGGCAGGCGGCCGGGGTCACAGGCGGGGGTGGCGGGGCAGTCAGCTCAGTGGTGTTGTTCTTGGTGGCTTTGAGCATGTGCCCGCTGATGGTGTTGTAGGCGTGCATGAAGTAGCGTGGCTGGCTGCGTTCTGCCTGGCGGCCCAGCGTCATCAGCCCAGAGGCTGGGCCGCCGCTGCGGAAGGCGCCGCTCTCGCCGTCCAAGTTGTCATCAGAGCTCCACCAGCCCGAGATGTTGGAGCGGCTGCGCCGCTTGGGCTCCCCAGCCTTGGCCCGCTCCTTGCTTTTGCCCCTCCGGCCCTTGCCGTCCTCCATGCCACCTTTCTTGCTGCCATTGCCCCCGACCTTGCCCGCCGTGCCCTCCAGTGAGGGAGCCTTGGTGAAGAAGAGGCGCTGGACCGAGTGGACCAGGTGGCGGATGCGGCCGGGGCTCTCACCACGGGCCTTGGCCTCGCCGCGGGGGAACTGGAGCGTGCTGAAGCCGTCGCGGTGGATGGGCAGCTGCTTCTCAAACTGGTCCAGGAGGTTGGCGGGCAGCCGGTTGATCTTGGTGGCCTGGGCATGGCTGGGGAAGGGGCTCTCCTCCGGCACCTCAAAGTGGGAGTTGTAGTGGATGCGGGGGAAAGTGCTGCTGGGTGGTGGCAGCTGGTTGTTGAGTGGGAAGAGGCTGTCCCCTGGCAGTGTGTTCTGCCCGGGGAAGCAGGCCTCACGGGCAAAGGCCTCCGTCGGCGACAGCAGGTAGGGGTTGCGGTCGGGCCCTGCGAACATGGGCTCATGGGGTGGGTCTAGGCTGTCGGAGAGGTGGCGGGGGCGGCTGTCGCCGAGGCCTTTCATGATCCCGGCCCAAGGGCAGGGGCCGGCGCCCTAGTGGGGCGCCCGGGTCACCTCTCCCGGGCAGCAGCTATCCTGGGGAGAGAAGACAGAGAGCAGTCAGCTGAATTGGAGGGGCCAGGGTGCCGGGAAGGTCGGATCTCGGGGCTGGGGCATCTCAGAAGCAGCGAGTTTGCTGTAGGCTGAGGACAGGAGGACACATGGAGGCCCATGTACTCTGTGCGTAAATGAAAGTCACAGCTCAGGCTAGTCAACTCTCAGGAGGACAATATATGTCCTATTCTAGCCTAACGGCCACCGTGATCATGACCTGAAAGCCAGGTTAGAACTCAGAGTTCTTGGCCTCCTCTGAACTCCATGCTGAAACGGGGGGTGGTAGGTAGCTGCCTGCCCTCCACTCTCTTCCCATCTGTGACTCTGGCTTTTGCCATGAGGAGCCACACACACACCCAGACTCTGCCCACATGCCCCTCAAGCAGCTACCCTGCGGCTGTGGATGTCCCACTGGCAGCATCCCTCTCCCACGGGAGGACCTCATGCTGGCCCTGGAAGCAGGCTTGGGCTCATTTGGGCAGAGAATCCCAGGGTCCCCAGTCCCCAGAGTGGTCTACAGGGACATGCAAGTTCCTTGTGGGCATATCCTCTGGGTTCCTGAACATTCCTTGCCTTCTGGAGAAAAACATGGCCTTTTAGAGGGCCAGAGAGCCTTTCTACGGAGTAGGAGCAGGACAGGCCTGAGGACAGGCCCAGGTCTGAGGACAATACTGTCCAACCCTGTATTTTAGCAGAGGAACCTTATGTCAAAGGAAGACCCTCTGTAAAACTCGCTCTATCCCTCACCGCATGTGTACCGAGTGTGACCTCTGGGCCAGGCGCAGGGGGCTGCTGACCCCAAAGAGGCCAACGAGCCCATAGGCCTGTCATTTTCCAAGCAAGATGAAGCAACCATGGCCTGGAACAGCATTCTCAGAGAGTCAGTAACCGGGACACATCCCAGGACATGGTGGACAGAGCAAGGCCTCATGAGGGGTAGCATTTGGGTGGAGTTGTCTCTGTTTCTCCATCTGAAAAATGGGGTGTTGGACTAGCTGATTCCCATGGTGTTCTAGCCAGAACTGTCCTAGAAACACTAGTCCCAAACTTAGGCAAGTCCCTCTCTTTTCTGTGCCTCAGCCTGCCTGTCTTCACGGGGCAGAGAGGAAGGCACAAGGTTTTTAAGCCCTGGACCCACCGGCCCTGCTTGAGAGAGTGGCGGGCTTTGTCTGGCTGTGCCTGGCATGCTGGGGATTGGCAAGGGGTCTGTGTGGCTGGGGATGGGGTAGTGGGGGAGGATTCTTGGAGTGGCCAGGTCCAGTCAGAGCACAGAGGCTCTGATACCAAGCATAGAAGGCAGAATCATGATGCCCAAACGTGCCCATGACTTTGTCAAAAGAACCCTGCAGTTGTGGTTACTCTGTAGATGCGGTAAAGGTCTTAAGATGGGGAAATCTGTATCATGGTTTATCTGGACGGGCACAACCTAACCACAGGGCTCCTTGTAAGAAAGAGGTCTGAAGGTCAGAGTCAGAGGAGATGTGACTATGGAAGCAGGGGTCAGGCTGATGTGGGGTCATGGGCCACGGAATGCAGGCAGCCCTTGGAACCTGGAGGAAGCCAGGAGATAGAGTGTCCACTGAGCCTCCCATGGACTTCAGTCCTGCAACCCATTAAAGATTCTGACCTCTAGAACAGATAGAGGTTCCAGCCACACAGCACAAGGCCACACAGTAAAGCCACAGAGAGACAGGCCTGGAACTCAGGTCTCTTGGCTCTTTTTTTAAGAGACAGAGCCTTGCTCTGTCTTGCTCTGTAGCCCAGGCTAGAGTGCCAGAGTGTAGTGGCAGAAATGGCTCATTGCAGCATCAAACTCCTGGGCTTATAGTGGTCCTCCTGCCTCAGCCTCCCGAGTATCTGGGACTACAAGCTTGCACCACCATGCCCAGCTAATGTTTTTATTTTTCATGGAGACAGAGTCTCACTTGTTGCCCGAACTCTTCTCAAACCTCTGGCTTCAAGCAATCCTCCTGCATCAGCCACCTGAGTAGCTGGGATTATAGATGCCAGCCACTGTGCCCAGCTCTCAGGTCTCTTGATTTTTTTTTTTTTTTGAGTTGGAGTCTCACTCTGTTGCCCAGACTGGAGTGCAGTGGCCGCTCCCGGCCACCACAGCCTCGACCTGCTGGGCTCTGGCAATCCTTCCGCCTCAGCCTTCCAAGTAGCTGGAACTACAGGTGCGCGCTACCACACCCGGCTCATTTTTTTTGATTTACTGTAGAGATGCGGTCTCGCCAAGTTGCCCAGGCAGGTTTTGAACCCACGGGCTCAGGCAATCCACTCACCTCAGCTTCCCAAGGCGCGGGATTACAGGCTGTGCCACCGAGCCCGGCTCTCTTGACTTTTAACATAGGCCTCAGCTCACTGGCCTTCCTGAACTAGAGGGTCTGCAAAGCAAAGGAGAGTGTGGGGCCTACAGCCACCAGCAGAGGGGCTGAGGGCGGAGGGATGGGACAGCACAAGAAGATGCCTCAGCAGAATGGATTCCAGAAGGCCTAGCACCAGCTAGCTCCTGCCAGCTGCTCCAGCCTCTTCCCATCTCTCTCTCCCCACCTGCCAGTCAAGCGCATTACCCTGTGGGATTTTCTTCACCGTTCTTGTTGCTCTGGAAACTCTCCTGTGTTTGCTCATCTGCTAGCTTATTGCCATTGTCCCCTAGATCTGAACTGTCCCATAGGGTAACCACTAGGCACATATGGCTACAGAGCACTTGACGTGCAGCTAGTACAACTGGGAAGCTGAATTTTCTACTTTATTTAAGTGCAATTGACTTAAATGTAAATAGCACATGTGGCAAGTGGCTACTATGTTGGACAGTACAGTTCCAGAGGTTCAAGCTGCCTCCTGGCAGGCACCCCTCCATCACCCCTGCCAAGGCTGGGGCCAGCACACTCTCTTTTCTACACTTTTGTGTTGGAAGTCTAGTTGATTTATTTATCCTAATAAACGTGTCACAGAAAGGCTACACATTTTCTCCTGAGTACCTATTTGGCTGCATATCATAGACCTTTATTTCTCTACAGGCTTTTTCTTTCTTTGTTTTTTTTTTTTAGCTGAGGAGAAATTCACATAACAAAATAAGCCATTTAAAAGTGTACAATTCATTGACATTTAGCAAATTCACAATGATGTGTAATCACTACCTCCACCTACTTCCAAAACATTTTTATAACCTAAAATAAAACCCCGCACCCAGTAAGCAGTCACTCCCTATTCTCCCTTCTTCCCAGCCTCTGACAACCACCAGTCTACTTTCTCTACAGATTTACCTATTTCCCATAGGTTTCATTTTTTAAATTAATTATTTTTTTTTGAGTTTAGGTCTCACTCTGTCATTCAGGCTAGAATGCAGTGGCACAATCATAGCTCACCACAGCCCTGACCTGCTGTGCTCAGGTGATCCTTCTGCCTCAGCCTCTCAAGTAACTGGTATGTCACAGGTGCACACTACCACACTTGGCTAATTTTTCAATTTATTGTAGAGACGAGGTCTCAACAAGCTGGCCAGGCTGGTCTTGAAACCCTGGGCTCAGGCAATCCTCTTGCCTCTGCCTCCCAAAGTGCTAGTATTACGGGAGTGAGCCACCTCGCACAGCTTCAACAACCCACTTTTTAAATGGGCAAAAGATTTTAACAGATACTTCACTAAAGAAGATACACAGATGGCAAATAAACACATGCCAAGATGCTCAGCATCACTGGTCATTAAATAATTGAAAATTAACAACTCAGTGAGATATCATTCCTTTTAGAATTCCTAAAATTAGAAAGATGGACTATGTCAAGGGTTGGTGAGAATGTGAAGGAACTGTTATTTTCATATGAGGGGGGACTCCCCCCAAAACACAGGATTATCTTTTAGGGGGTGGGCATCGTGTAGTACAGGCTTCCTCTGCTAGGTAAGTTGCACAACACTTCATCTGTGTTATACACATCAGTGTACCAGCTAGCGTTGTTGTGAGAGGCTGCTTTTAGCTTCAGGGAGTTTTTTCCTTTGAGATTCTTCCAACAGGTTTGCCCACTTCATGATGGGTGATTTACGAGTGCACCTGCCCACACTGTGCTAAGTGTTTAGTAGTTTTTGACCCAAGATGGCATGATTCCCATCCCCCATCCTCCCTGTTCACCTGATCTTGCCCCAGCAACTTTTTTTTACTTCCTCAGATGAAAGAAGTCCTCGAAGGGAAACTTTTTGCCGAGGTGGAAGAGGTGAAACAAAAAAAGGCAGATACACTAAAAGGCACCAAAATGAACAAGTTCAAAAACTGCTTTGAGCAGTGGAAAAAGTGTCTTGATAGGTGTATTGCATCAAATGGAGGGTATGTTGAAGGTGACTGAAATTTAAACATGTAAGAATAAACATCCAATTGTTTATAAATACATTCCGTTTTTTGGGTCCCCCTCAAATATTCATAGTGCTGAGCAACTATCACCACCAGCCATCTCCAGAACTGTTTTCATCTTGTAGAACTAAAACTCCACCCCTATGAAACAACTACTTAGGGATTTTGTTTTGTTCATTGTTGTGTCCTTGTCTTCGTAAAGTGTGTCCAGCTAGGACAGAGCAGGGGTTCAAGAAATATTATCTAAATGCTTAAATAAATGATTCCGACCTCGATATCTTGAGCTTTGACCTCCCTTCTAAGTTCCAGATCTGTATTTCCCACGCCAGCTAACTCTGTGAAATGTATCCCAGGGATACTTTGAACTCCAGATGTTCAAAGCTTCTTCCAACTGGCCTCCTTTTCCAGCTGACTCTGCTCTGCTTCTTGCGAAGGCCTCTTGGGTGAAGTCATTCTTTTGTCTCTGGGGTCTACCCCCATCACCCAGTTCCATTATCACCACATCCTGTTTGCTTGGCTCAGGAGGAAGAGCAGAAGGAGCCAAGCAACCCCTGGTTATTTCTAATTTGCTTGCTGTCTCTGCAAATGTTGGCCTATTCTAAATATTCCAGATAAGTATAATCATGCATTTGTCATTGT